ATCTGGGGTTGTTTTCCATCTCCAAGAGAGCTGCGTAGAGTTTCAAAAGCTCTGCAGCAGCACGCTGGCCAGCCAGAGGGGAGTGTAGCCAGGTGAGAGATCCCTAACCTTGGAATTAAGAATATCCCTAGGGATCCTATAAAGTATCCCATGAACTTTATATGCCTGCCAGGCCCAGAGAGCTCAATGTCAGTATCAGTCAAGTTCAGAACTTTCTGTCCCTTCCCCTTTGCTTTCATCCCTCTCTTCTGCTTCAATTATAGCCAGCAAACTGGCGTAGAAAACTATGCTTCTGAAAGCATAAAGGAGGAAAACAGAAAAGAAATCGCACCCCACCTCAACTGGGACAGGGAAGTGGCTGTAACTTTGAATAAAGTTATTGTTTTTTATACTGGACTATTTAGCAGAGATTGTTTTATTACCCGAAAGTTGCCAGAAAAGGAATGAGTGGTGCCTCCAGTTTTATCTGGGGGAAAAGGAAGCACCAGAGACCAGAATAAAATTAAATGGACAATTTATATTGTTTTAGGATTATTTCTCATAGAAGTCTGCTTGTTGAAGGTACTGATTATATATTCAGACCTTACTTATTAATTTCATTCCTTTTATACATTTAGGTTTGATTGCTGAGGCATTATAAATAATGTCAGACTAGCCTCATATACATTTCTATCGTTATGTTTTGGATCATTAGAGATTTGCTTACAGAAGGGGAATACTCATATATCAATATTGGCAAGTTGCTTTTCAAAAGGGTTTAGATGCTCTCCACTATTGTCTTTGCATGAATGTTTCAGATACAAAGAAGTTTAAAAAAAATACTGACTTAAGAACGATATTTGATTTTATAACATCTATGGAAGGGTTGACTATAAAAGGAGACAATCCTCACTATTCAACTATATTAATCAGATGTTAAAAATTATTCTGAGGGTATTTGTTTTGTAGACTGTAAACTTTATAGAATTTTCTCTATGAATTATAAAATACCACTTTATGTGGGAGAAGTCTGCATAAAAAATGTTTCAATCCATCATTAATTTTAAAGCACATTAAATTTGGAGATAAAAACACCTAGACTAATTTGACTTTCAAATATTAAAAAACAAACAGCTCTTTCCAGCCGGCACCAAGCCATAGATCGCCATGATCTCAACAGGCACGAGCTCCTGTGAATATGCTTTCAGTACACTGACATGTGCAGGCAAGGGGCAAGGTCAGGGAGCTGTGCCCCGACCATGGGCCCCGTGGGGAGCAGCCACCTCAAATGGAGACACAAGAGAGAGAAGCAGGCTCTCGCGGGTTCCTGATGGCAGGCAATTTTCCTTTTCCTTTTTTATATGTTTCTTGCTTCTCTTTATTAGTTTATACCCAACTGCTCACATCCTAAGGATTTTAACATATTTTGAAATTTTTTTAAAAAAAAAACTTTATACAATTGGTGCCACGCTGTGTATATTTTACATGATTTTCTTTATTTTACTCCACCATTTGTTTTTGACTTTCATTCTAGTGGTCCTAGGTTATTCATTCTCAGGCTACGGTTTTATACTTTTTACATACATTTATCAGAATTTATGACTCCTCCTTCTAATGATCAGTTTGCTGTCCTTACCAGCTGATGGTTACTTAGACATGCTTTGGTAAATGCCATGTATTGTTACATCAGGGCTGGGGCAGCTGGGAGAGGATCCTTGACATGCGCCGCTACTTTCCCTTTTCTCACTTGGAGTCCTGAAGGGAGCCAGGATGGGAGGAGGGACCTTTTAACCACCCGTCAGCTTACAGCTTCAGTGCCCTGGGGAGGGCCTGGGACCAGTGAGCCTCACTGAACCAGACAGAGGTGGAGTCTTGCTCATGTAACTGCAGGTGTGGATTGAGCCTCGAGGTGGAGGACAGAATCAGCACCACCCCGAGTTGCAATGGTGTCCTTGTCCCAGAGGCTCAGACACACCCTTCTCCTGCCTCCATGCCACTCAACAGGATATTCTCCCTCTTGCTTTATTGTTAGACACATGTATAAGCACAAAACAGAAAATAGCAGGAATTCTCTTGGATCTCAATAAACAGCAAGGAAGGAAGAAGTTCCAGAATTTTTTTTAAAAAAAGTTCAAGAAATATTCGTGCCCAGGCCACGGGGTGGATGGCAGACCATAGTCAACAGTACTGGACTAGAGGCTTGTTCCTTCCTCCCAGAGCCTGGTCAGCCCCAGGGAGCCTTCCACCAGCGGCCAGTCCATACAGCAGAATGCTGACCAAGGGAACCCACTGCCACAATGAAGCTTCCCCACTCGGGGAGAAAGGCCATAGGTGCTCTGTAAGTTACAGTCTGCTCAAGCCATGTTGAAAGGTTCTGTGGGAACACTTACAGGACAGCACTTGGCTTGCTAGGCAGGAAAGGATCTGATTGGAAACACCAGTTTGGTCTTGAAAAAATGAGTAGAAATGTCCCAGGTAGACTGAGGGATCAAACAAGGAGTATAGATTATTTGGAGATCAGAGGATTCTAGATTCGGTGCCATGGAGCATGAATTATCTGAATGGTAATGTGCCACTGAAAGGTTTTTGAGCCCTGGCTGGTTTTGTTCAGTGATTAGAGTATAGGCCTGCGGATTGAAGTGTCATGGGTTTGATCTCCAGTCAACAGCATGTACCTCGTTCGCAGGTTCGATCCCCATCCTTGCTGGGACACGGGTGAGAGGCAACCGATTGATGTGTCTCTCTTACATAGATATTTCTCTCTCCCCTCCTTCCTTCCACTCTGTCTAAAAATCATTGGAAAAAATATCCATGGTAAGGATTAAAAAGAAAAAAATAAAAGAAAATACCTTTCCGGCCTCTGAGCCACACAGTCAAATGTATTTATAAAGGCCTCGGTCAGAGAGATGTGTGGGGAGCAGGGGGCACATGGGCGCCTGCAGAAACTCTGGGAAAAGTGGGGTTGATCAGACCAAGTCATAGCCTTTAAGCCTTGATTACTTCATTTGTGAAATAGGATATTCTCTCCTTCATGGTGAGAGAATATATGCATTTGAGGTACCATTAAATAACCAAATATAAGACCTGGGTTTAGAAGTTCAGCTGAATCATGTTGGACTGAAATGGTACTGGCTTGGAGGTCTTCAAAGCTTCCAGATATCCAACCTTCCCTTCATCTAAAAAATGTGGCCATCAGCCGAAACCGGTTTGGCTCAATGGATAAAGCATCGGCTTGGGGACTGAGGGACCCGGGTTCGATTCCGGTCAAGGGCATGTATCTTGGTTGTGGGCATATCCCCAGTAGGGGGTGTGCAAGAGGCGGCTGGTGGATGACTCTCTCTCATTGATGTTTCTAACTCTCTCCCTTCCTCTCTGTACAAAATCAATAAAATATATTTAAAAAAAAAAGTGGCCATCAATCTCCACCTAATTGAAAATAGTAAATGAGAGAATGCCCCTAGCCCAGGCCTGATCTGGAATACCATCTGAATCGCTAACTGGTTTCCTGTTTGAATTCTGGATGCCCAGTGACCCATTCTCAATCAGCCAGAGGAATCCTTATAAGTTATTCCTTGCTTGGGACCCTTTAATAACATTCCATGGCACAAAGGATAAACTCTGAATGCCCTCAGGTGGCATGGTGAGGCCCTGCCCAGTCAGCTCTTCTCTACTGGTCTAGTGGAAATGCAATTTAGCAGAACAGTTTGGAGGCTAAGAATCCAGTTTGTGACTGCAGAGCCTTAAGTGGGATGTTTAACTGTTTTGTGCTTTCTGTGAAATGGGGATAATACTCTTATTGAATTATTATGAATGTTGAGTTACTATACATATAGCAGTAAGCACAATTTCTCACATTTAATAAGTGCTAGCTAGCTATTTAAGCACCTAAGGACAATGATTTTTGTCTTATTCTGTATCCACAATATCTAGAATATAGAGTAAGTATATAATATATATTTTTGAATGAATGAAAAAAATCCTAATAATACACTAATATCATAATATCTCCCTTGCCCTTGACTTAAATTAAATTTTGAAAAGCCTATCATGAAATAATCTGAAATCTTAAGCCTATCTAAATACTTTTCATTAGGATGAAGAATTAGAAACAATGTTGAGCATTATATTATCTAGAACAAAACATGCCGGGACTTAAAGATTAATTGAAAACTAAACGTAGTACATTTTGCCGTAATCTGACAAAGGACCATGTAATAAAGGGACACTGTTGACTATTTTATTGTTATCCACATAGACTTTGGTACTTAGAACAACAAACAAATTGGATTAAGTTGAAAAAATTATGTATGTGTGAATGACAATTGAATCGCTGAGAATTACAATACTTTTTAAAAAGAGAAACATTATTTCTTCAACTAAGATCATTTATGTTTAATACTAGCTTGCTTTTTAAGGTAGCAAAAGCTCTCAAAAGGAGGTTATCATAAAGTTAATTATATACAGGTAATTCTTAACATCTATGAATAGACAATTTAGGATTTAAAAAAAATGAATATGGAGAAAAATTATTATATTGTCCTAAACTATTGAGTAGATGTTACAAGAATTAACTGGAATAGTTAGGCTGACCAGACGGTCAGTCCTTCAATCCCACACCTAGAAGTCCTTCTACATTTGCAATGATCTCTCTGGAAACTAAGGTAGTGCCTAGGTTGTCTGTTTTCCAATGATTCTTGAAACACTGGTCTGGTTCTACTTCACCGACAGCTTTGGATGGCAAATTCCAGCTGCCTTTTCATAGACTGATACTCCCTTTAAAAATTGTGATTGTCTCTGTGACTGGACACTGATTCTGCTTTCAAATGATAAGTTAAGGTTGAGAGAACACACCTGCAGGGTCACCTACAAAACTAAATGATGCAACTCCCCGCTCCCCATACCTAGAGTTATATGACTGTCGTTACCATTTTGTATCTCAGGACCACTCACATTCCCACTATGAGTAAATGTCTCAGCACTGACTTCTGTGGGTCTCAGCAGATGTCATAAGAAGTTCCTACCTGGACCAGGCTATATCCCGTGCGCTGGACCAGTGCGCGAAGGGCTGCTTCCTTCTGGGTGCCGCTCAATCCATCCCCGGATTTGTGATTTGATTCCATTGAGAGTGATTATCAGCAAAAAATCAGGTTAATTAGGGTTGCTCACTGAAACCAAATTTAAGATAAATTAAGTAAATTGCTGTTGCCAAGTCCAAACTTGTCCTTCTCATAAAGGACATCTTTAGGAAACATTCTCTGCAAATGAGACATCAGGTTAGAGCAACTAACAGCCAGAAACAAACAAGGCCAGTTACATATCCTCATTAAGGAAGAGATTTTTTAAAATGTTCAATTTTTAGCTGAAATTTGAAGTTAAAAAATGAGTAGTGTCCTATCTCCAATTAGAATGCAGATCAGTAATTCTCAATTCAGTGACCTGTGAATGTCACCAAATGCTCAGATACAAATTAGCTCTTGTCAATTAAAAGAATATGCAGAATGGTCCTTATAGATGTGGGAAGGAGGACACTGTTACTAAATCAGTCAACTAGAATAAGGAATCAGGATCCTAAGAGTGTTAGCTTCACATATATCCTCTATGTGTTTAACTAAGACATCTACTTACTAGAGGCCTGGTGCACAAATTCGTGCACAGGTGTGGTTCCTCTGCCTGGAGGGTATCAGCTGGCCAGGAAGAGGGACTACAGGAGGTTGGCCAGCTTGGGGGAGGGACTGCAGGAGGTTGGCTGTGGGAGCATATTGACCACCAGGGGGCAGCTGCTGTATTGAGCATCTGCCCCCTGGTAGTCAGTGCGTCGTCATAGTGACTGGCCAACCATTAGACAGGTCATTTGGTGGACTGGTCATAATGGTCGTTTGGACTTTTACATATACAGAGTCTCCAAAGATAAATTTGTAGGACAGAATGCACTGGGGGCAAAAACAGAAGTCCTCCCGCAAACTATGTAATAAAAATGTCACCTGCGTTTTAACTAAACAATAATAGATTCTTTTGAGTGATGTTGAAAGGGCTTGCTAACATCTGGATCATGTACTTCACAGACATAGAGTCCTTTGTAAAAATCTAAGAAACTATGTAAGTTTATATATGTCTGGGTTTAGGTAGATATTAAGGTGCAATGTCAGTATTTTATTGTCTATGCTATCTGTTTTGGTACAGATCTGAACCCATTTCAAATGTGATGGTTATTGTGACTCACAGGTTTGCAGGGCAAGGATATGGCCATGCTGTAGGTCCCTGCAATAGTGGTGTGAGGTTCTGAAGTCTCCCATGAGTGTAATCAGAGTGCACCTGCTGAGTTAGAGCGTGAATGGCTCAGTGATGGTTCTGTGCTGGACTTCCACTCTGCTTAATGTGCTCTGCCAACCAAGACAGTGGACACATGTTTTATGATGGGTTGAATCAAATGCAAATCTAATGTGTTTGACTCTAGGCCCTTTAAAAAAATTTTTCTGTCCTGCATATTGAGATAACCTGTGCTGATTTTGGTTGTCTTGAAAAATTCCGAATGAAAAAAGAATACAATAAAATTTTGAATTGAATGAACCATTAATGATATAGAAAACTGGGCCAAAAATTAAGTGCTAAAAAAAAAAAGATTAAGAATCCGAGGTAATAATTTCAGTAAAATGTAGAATTAAAATATATCAAAATAATAGAATTTTAAAATGCCCAGACGAATAGACGAGCATCATTTAGAAAGCAAAATTTTCAAGAAAGTTAAGAAAACAAAAGGAAAGAAATAATGAGATTCCAGAAAAATAACACCCATTAGCTGTTACAGGGACAGTTTTATGCTCTTCACAGAAACATGGCCATGCTTGGCCTTGCCCTTTCTAATAATTCTTGCTTGCTTTCGACCCAGATCAATTAATTCAGTCTTCACCCATTCACTCTCTTTAGGCATATTTCCACAGCGCCGTCTGTATATCAGCCCCATCCCCTGCCTAGTTTTAGGGCATTGAGTTTTATTGGCAGTAGGCTAACATACCCGCTTCTGTATCTGCACTTTGCAAAATGTAGTGATTTAAAAAGAAAAAGAAATCCTAACTTCATACCTTGGCTATGACAAATTAAAGGGAATCTTTATGGAGTCAGTGGTGATTTGGCAAATGTGTAGCAATCCAGGGAGGAACACATTGCTTTATAAACACATTTATAATATAAATGCTCTTTCTCTGGACACTACAAGGTAGGGGAAAACAAAATGTGTTTTCACTCTATAACCCAACCTGCTGGTCAATACAGTCATGGAACCTCTACAAATCTATCTATCTATCTATCTATCTATCTATCTATCTATCTATCTATCTATCTATCGATCTATCTATCCTCTTAAAAACATAAAACGACAAAAAGGATTTTGAAGATTTATAAAGAAAATTAACCTGTAAGACAAAATAGAATTCCTCCCCTGTTCCCAAATGTTACTAAAATTGTGTGTGTTTTTTTTTTCTTTTTCTTTTTTCATCGGGATACTCTCAAACTCTCCCACAGTGCTGAATTTAACCTGCAAAAGCAAGGAGGCCATAAATGGACTCGGGGTCTGATGAAGTTAGTCATGAATGTCTTACAGATGTTTGCAGGCAGAATCTGTTGTTTTTTGGCCAATTTGTAGATTTTTCCTTTGCTGAACTTCATCTTTTCTATCAAAAGATAACAGTTCATGGCGAAACAACTTTTATTTACAACACCTATCTTTAGTTTTGGTTAATAATTAGCAAAGGGGATCAAAGATATTTTACATCAGAAAGGCGTTTTGGTTACATAATAGATTCACTCTGAAACTATTAAGAGAATCTATATGGCATCTTAATATAATGTCAAGAGACTGGAAATCAGAACATTGAAATAAAATTCAGAATTTTCCATAAGAGAAAATTGGTTTTCAAAAACAATTCGCTCTCCCAACTTTGAACCTGAATCCCAGATAAATATTTTTTTTTAGGCAAGTCAAACTTTTGTTTAAAAAATTGGTCAATTTGAAACAAAGGTTTTGCAATATGTTATCTAATTTAGCACCTCATGAATTCTTCAGATATTAGGGAACTGCATTTTACAGATAGTTCCTGATGTAATTTTTGAGGCAATAGATCTAAAACCTCTATATAGCAGGCTTTGAGACCATTGGAGCTAAAGGAAAGCACTCATGACAATTGGTCACTATTCATTCAAAAATTATTTACTGAGTACCCACTATCATCCAAGCATTTTTTGAGACATAGGGATATAACAGAGAACAACACAAACCCCTCTCTCCCTAAAATCTCAGCTTGAGAGTAGTTGATGGATTTATAAAGTGGTTAAGACAATAAACAAAATAGTTATACGTACAGTGTGCTTATGATAATTTCTGTGGACAAAAAAAATAAAAAGTGGGAGAGGAATATAAAGTGAAATATAAAGTATGGGGGTGGCATTTTTAGATAGTGTGGTCTAGAAAGAGTGAATTTGGGAAGAGAACTGGGTGAAGTGAGGGATTATATTTGGGAGAGAGCATTCAAGGCAGTAGGTCTGGCAAGGGCAGGGGCTTGCTGGTGAAATATGAGGAGGCCACATGGAGATGATGAAGCCAAGTGCGTGAGGAGAGAAGTGGGAGTTGGGGGTTGGGAGATAATGGGGGACCCGGTCATGTAGGCCCTTCTACATCATGAGAAGGGCTTTGGATTTTGCTCTGAGAAGTGAAGCCAGACAATCAACAAGATTTTACTTGAGTTTTAACAGAATCCCTGTAACTATTGAGAGAACATTGAAGGGAGTCAAGTGGCACTGGGACTGAGGTGAGGAAAAGGTGAGTTATGCAAACACAGGGTCTAGTCCTGTTTTTATTTAAAAGTTTGCTAGTTTAAATTATGATTTTTTTAAAAAAAATATCACAGCCTGGTCAGCATGGCTCAGTGGTTGAGCATCAATCTATGAACCAGGAGGTCATGGTTTGATTCCTGGTCAGGTTTCATGCCCAGGTTTGTGGGCTTGATCCCCAGTGTGGGGTTTGCAGGAGGCAGCTAATCAATGATTCTCTCTTATCATTGATGTTTTTATTTCTCTTTCTCTCTGCCTTCCTTTCTGAAATCAATACAAACATATTTTTAAAATATTACATTAAAATGGCACATTTGTCTTGATTACTGAGTTTTGATATTTCTTAAATTTTATGTTCAAGATGGTGCCTCACTCAAGTTGGCAGGGAATAAAAGGGAGAAGCAGGAGACCAGTTAAAAATCTAGGCAAGATAGTAGTGGCTTGGACTAGGGTGGTAATAGTGGGGAGGGGTGATGAAAAATGATCAAATCTTGGATATAGTTTACAGATGAATGCATTGTGAGAAAAAAATGAGGAGTCATGGTTGGCATCCCAATTTTTGGCCTAGAAAACTAGAAGAAGAGATTTGTCATTAACTGAGTTTGGGAGCAGCAAGTTCATGGAAGAAGAGCAGGAATCAGCTGTAGGCACGTTGATTTTGAGATGCCATTAGATAGCCATTAGTAGAGAGGTTAAGTGGACAGTTAGATATATGAGTCTGAATTTTACGAGAGAGTTCCAGACAGGACATATTGATCTGTAAGCTATTTACATAGAGCTATTTAAGCTGTAAAATTGGATGAGGTCATCTAAGGACTGAGTATAGAAAACAGGTCCAAGGACTGATCTCTGGGGCACTCCAGCTTTTGGAAGTCAGAGAGACAAAGGAACTAGCAAAGGAGAATGGGATGGGACAGTCAGAAAGGTAGGGCAAGAACCAGGTGAGTGAGGTGGATTGGAAGCCAAATGAAAGAATTTGGGGGAACAATTGAATGATCAGATGTGCTAATCCTGCTAAGTCATATAAGATGAAGCCTGAATAGGAACACAGATCCCAGAACAAGACATTCGGGGTTCAAATCCTCATTCTGACTCTTATAGTGTATTCTGGGAAAGTTCCTATCCCTCTTGCTGCCTCAGTGTCCTCGGCTGAGGAGGTAACGGTATTTCTCAGAGGGCCATTGTATTGCATGAGTAAATATATTGAATGGACTTTGGAAGATTTCCAGGTATATAGGTATATAGTGATCAGCTTAGGCATATAAAATATAAAAAGGAAAAATAGAGAGGCAATATG